TAAAACCCAAAAAATGGACTTAAACTAAGGTAATATGGACTAATTTTGGACCTAAGGAATCTTAGACTTGTTTTAAGTCCTAACACACTGACTTGTTTTAAGGCCATGATGGTCCTTAAAAAGTCCATATTACCCAAAAATTAAAGCATTTAGATATTCATCTTAACTTACAAAAGCCGTTAGCCACTCGAAACTTTAATAAGGGCGTAGCCCAGAGGAAATTATGCCAGCTTCCGGTTATTTTGAACCGGGTTCGAGTCCAGTACAAGACATGTTTTTTTTTTTTTTTTACATTTATTTTTTAATTTTATTATTGTATTTATTTTTTATTGTTATTAGTAAATGAATTTTACAACTGAAAAAAACTTCCAACTCATTTGCACCAGTGGGATTCGAACCGGGGTTCGCCTTACCAATCACACCATCAAACACTGTTAAGTACATGTGTCTAAGCGACACATTAAATCATTTTTAAAATTTTTTATTAGATAAAAATTATTAAAATATTATGTGTACGCCGCACTCTCTTACTAAGCTAACAAATCATATGGATAAGATAAACATTGTTAATTTAACAGCATAGTTAACATATTTATGACTATTTTTTATATACAGTTGTGATAGATGAAAAAATCGGTTTTTTTTTTATTGCATATTCTTGAAGTATATACTGTTGAGAATACTCTTCCAAAAATTCAGAACGATCGGAGCATTAGAACCGAAGTTGTAGCTATTTATAGCGCACTACCACTACCTGCACATCGGCCGTTACAAACTTGAAACTTTAAACGCGATTATCTCAGAATCTTGTTTTTTCGAAATTACCTTTGCGGTGGACACGATTACTAAAAAACTATTAAGCCGATCGATAGCTAGTCCTTGAACGAAGGATTTAGAGCGTCTTTAATTGCATATTATTTTCCATTTAGGGATACTTTTCCTAAAAATACATTGAAGCCAAATCATCAAACTTGGGGCTGTCCATACATTAAGTAATTACCAAATGATTACTGTATGGCAAAAAAAAACTAAATGTATAGTTTTATACGTTTTCGCTATATAAAAAATCAACACAAAAAAATTAATTAAACATTTTCTTGAAAATATAAAAACAAATACATATATTATTGTTTATAGACTATTTTTTTAAATATACTCATATATGGGTAAAATTTTGATAAGTACCAAGATCGTAATTTCCCTACGAATAATAAAAAATTATTAGTTTTTATTTTTTGTTAAAAAAAAAAGTTTTTTTGTGTTGTTTATAGGCATGTGCTATTTTTTAGGTAGTGGACTGTATATCACGCTTTTAATTCCTTAAAATCTATGGCCTTAAATTGAACATTTATGGCCATTTTTACTATTTTTAAGTCCACAATGGCCTTAAATCACCATTTTAGGCAATGTAGTCCATGTTTCCTTAAATCTAGGAATTTTTTTTTTCTGAGTGTATTTGGCTCCAACCCAGACAATTGGTTATGTCAAGAAGTGGCATGTTTGTTGTGGCTTAGTTTCCCAGGGTTTGATTTGGCTCGCACCCGATTAATTTGCACTTAAAACTTTGGTTTTAAAGACTTAAAAGCTTTTGTTCGATAAATGGAAAGCCTGTTAAGCATTTGCTTTACACTAAATTGGGTTAAATTGGTTAAGGGATTACATAGTGTTACCATCTTACGAATGAAATGAATTTAATAATTTTATAAGCTCTCCTTAAATATTATTCCATGTGCATCCCCAAATGCATCTGCCCTTTTCATGGTTTTCCAAGAAAACGCCCATGAAGTTTTCCCCTCGGTTTCGCGCTTTTATCCTTGACAGCTGTCATCCGCCATGAAATATCACGCATACGCCGACTAAATACCCTAATTGGCTTTAACAATGCCTTAATTTTCTGCTTATGAGAGGGGTGCAGAGGCCCCTCCTTCTCGAGTGAAACAACAACAACGGCACCGAATGCGCTATTGTTATGTCGCCACACACACAGTGACAAACAAACAAACAGAAGAACAAATGTATGGGTGTATTTGTGCATGGTCACAGGTCACACTCACACTCACACAGGCGTGTACTTCATTATAAGCAAATATTTTTAGCCTCATTTCAGCTAAAGACGCTTAAGCACGTTATAACTTTTCGCACGATGATATTGTTGTTGTTGTTGTTCCCTCCTCGTTGTTGCTGCAAAGGCTCACTCACTCACACAACTGCAGGCGCACACCAATACATACAAACACTGGCGCTGATTTACCTAACAAGCGCAACTCGAAGAACAAAAGGCCAAAAGCCAGGGGGATTCCTATTCCTGTTGTTGTTTTCATTTAAAGGGATTTAAAAAATTCAAAGGGCAATTGTCATCACACACACACTTACCCTCACACACACACACACAAGTGCATGGAAGGACATGGCGAAAGAGAGCGAAAAAATGAAAGAAAGAAACTCGTCTTTTGCATCGCTCTAACGGCCTCTTCTTATTGTTTACTTCACTTTTGTTATTACGTGAAGTTGCTGCTGTTTTTGTTGCATTTAAGCACATGCAATACTACACAAGAAGAAAATGTAATCCGATTACATCCGAAAAGTGGCATTATTATAATAGTCTTTTGTTACTTGACAATTTTGTTTTAAATAGTTCAACTGAATAAAATAATGAGGTCGAAGGAGTTTACTACACAATATGGTCAAAGTAAGGTTTTTAGTTTAATTTTAGTAACTGTAACTATTGAAATTATATTAAATTATTCTCATTTTTTTAATATTTTTTAATTTAAACTTTAATATAGTTTGAAAACACCAAGTTCCACAACCCTTTTCTCTATGTTTACTCATATGTATGGAGAAGCAAAGACAAAGGACATTCAGGACCCGTTGTCCGCCACACGAGATATTCCACGGACACTCGACGTCTGTGTGCCGTGCGACGTTGATTCTATGCTAAATACGAGCAGAACAATGATAATGTCGCATGGTAAATTACATGTAATTATGTATTTTCCCCTACTCCAGTTTCGTTTCGCTGTCGGTCCTTACACTTTTTCGAGCAGTGCTCTTTGCAACATTACCTCAAAACACCGTCAACGTCTCGGTCGCTTTCCCTGTCACCGCTGTCGACACGAGAAAGTATGTTAATAACGAGAAAAAAGAAATAATAACGAGGAGTAAGGTGAGTGCTGTAATGGGGAGCTGCACCTGAAATTGCATCCTTTTTGTTTTTCCTTTTGGCTTACCTTTCAGGGCTACAATTAAGACAAGGAAATCGGCAGCAGCAGAAGGAGACATACTGCTTATGCGACTCACCACCATTTTATATTTCTTTAGAAGAAGCTCAGGCTGCAAAATGTTCCCTTTGGCAAGGAATCAGTCGATTTATACTTACCCTCTTCACAATGTATGACATCTGAATGTGGTCTCTCTGGCACTCACTACAAACGTTCAGTTGGCTGCTAGTCTATCGAACCACTTTATTCATAATTGGCTTACTTTTGTAGTAAAGAAAGTTGGTTTAAAATAAAGTAGGTATAATTTAAATTTATTTGATTTTTTTTTGAAAATCGCATTTTTTAAATATTAAAGATAAGATGCCTCATAGGAAAAAACATCGATCTAAAATTCAAGCTGTAAAAAAGTACCGTTTAAAATTAAGTCTTTAATTTATAAAAATAAAAGTGTCTATTTATATTTCTTAAAATATTCAATTTAGAGACTTTAAATTGGATTTCATTAAACAAAAAAAGAAACCCAAATCTGTTATTTACATTTGGCTTGGCAGGCCTGCATATAACAGTTTTTTAACGTTCCATAAAAATACTGGGATTTTCGCTTAGCAAGCAGGAAAAGGGAAATTTTTCGAAGTTCAATAAAAGACGATGGTTAGCAAGAAAAACCGTTTAAAATAAGTAAAGTAAAGAGAATAAAGTAAAGCTTTAAAAACAGATATTTAAATAAGATTCCTAATTTTAATTTAAAAATATTTTAGCCCTACTCACGCGGAAGAAGATATTAAAAACCCAATCTTAGTCCTCAGCCTTCTTAACAAATTTCAAATGTGGCTGGCGCTTTCGAAAAGGCCTGTCCTCTCGGCCGCTCGGATTCTGCGCTCTGCGGCGAAAGGAGCCGAAAGGACCAGAAAGGACGAGGCGGACGAACTTGTGAATGGCGCCCGGAGCGAGGAAACAACGAGCCAGTGTTGGGGACGGCGAGAGGGACGGAGGGGGCGGCGGAGAGCAAGGATTCAGCAAGGAGCAGGCGGCGCGAGTGAGAGCGAGCCATTCGTGAATATTTCATGAACGACGGCAGCGATGGCAGCCAGCTTCGGGCTGCCGATTTCCGAGCTCCTATGCTCCCTTGCCGAAGAGAAAAGTAGGGAAACGCATCCCGTCGTCGGCATCGGCGGCAGCGGCTGCGAGCAGCAGCAGCGCAGCGATTTTCCCAGCAGCAACAGCGGCAGGAAAATCGGCAGCCTTTCTGCCGTCGTTGCAGTGGCAGCAGCGCCTCCGAATTTTGGCCAATGCGTGTGCTCCTGGCGTTCAGTAAGAAAAGCGTCGCCCAGCGGTCTAGTACGAACGTATACCGAACGCTTTGTATATCCTGTAAATTATATCCTGTGTGTGCGATACGATTGATCTCGTCTGCCTGGTTCGTGCGTAGTTCGAAACATAGACTTCTTTCTGAGATTTGCCCTGCTTGTAATGGCAAATTATTCTGGGCCATGAACACATATAATTTTTAAACGATCACTGCAGCCACCTTTAGTTATTTATTTTTAAGCTGGTCCTATCGCAAATACTTTTGGAGTCACTGACTTCTAAAGTTGCCACCGAATTCGCGCGCGACAAAAAGCCAGAAACTGCCGGCAAAATAATTGCCATTGCAGCCAGCTGCTTGAAACTTTACCAGCGACTTTGAGCCGGCTGAGCAGAGCTTCACTTTTTTGTTTGCCCTGTTTTTCCCCCGCCTTTCCTCTCACATATTTTTCTATTATTTTTCCCTTTCGGTTTTTTTTTGCCTGACATTTTACATACCAGACATTGATATTAAAACAGAGGACGTCTGGCAGAAGGCAGAAAACTCGCAGTTGTAGTACTACTCGCATGACAGGAATATTTATAATTTCCGCTGCCAGCAGACACAACAGAAAAGAAAGAATAATTTGCGATTACTGGCAGGCAGAAGGCGAAGGAAATCCCTGAAACGATATTACAAGCCAAGTGCGCTTGAGTTCGTGTATTTCCGGTTGAACAAACACATAAGCGAAACATAAAGGAGAGGCGGAAGAAAAAAAAATAAGAAATTCCACATGCCCCATACTTATGCCAATAAATATATAAAAGTATATGTAGTATATAAACCAGCCAGCACGAAAAGTGAAAATACATAGAGGCGAAAGGCGAGAGCATATTTCATAAGTTTGCACTCCGCACATATAGAAAACCCAGGCGAGAGCCAGAGAAAGCTGGCGACAAAGGCTAACGCACGACCTTTGGCACCGAGTTCAGATCCTGCGGAGGGGTCAGCGAATCATTAGAGACAAAGACAGAGCCACTGCATCGGCAGAGCATCCGTTCCCCTTAGCGAAAGCGACCAAAATTCACTCGCAAATAATGCTGACCATGTCGACCCTGATGATGCCAGCACCGACCATAGCCATGGGTGCCCCGCAGATCACAATGGGTCCGCACAAGCCCCCGGAAACGAAGCTGCTGGCCATCCATCCCGCCGCGGCGGCCGCAGCAGCCGCCCAGCAGCAGCAGCAGTCGGTGACAGCTGCCCATTTGCAGCACAATGGCCAGCAGCAACAGCAGATGTCGCAGCAGCAACAGCAGCAGCAGCTCGTGGGCAGCAACTCCAAGCCAGGTGAGTGGAAAAGCGAGTTTTCTCCCGAGTTGAATGTCCTTTCGATTTCGATTTCTGTTTCGGCGCCATTTCCACCGACAAAAGGTGTTGCATAAATTGAGAAATGTCGCTGCCATTTTGCCCCTGAGACGTGTTTTGAATGCAGCAGACAGCGGGCTTCGCTTTGTTGTGATTTGGGAATTTTCACAGCAACAATGGTCTTCGTAGAAATGTGAATATTTAATGGAATGCATTGAAGAGGAATTGTCAATATTCTGGGAAGAGAATAAAAATGTAGTTCAAGTAAATTAAAATTTTATTACTTATGAACTTTTATAAAAATAAAACGTGTTTTATCAAATATTATCAAAATCACATATAATTTATAAATTGTTTCTAATTAATTCTTTAAAAAAACATAAAACGAATTATTATAAAATGTTATCAAAATCACATAAATTTATTTCAATTGCCTAAACATTTTAAAGCAGAACACCGAACAAGAGCAAACAATTTAATACTATGTAAAAGCAAATAAATCAAGCATTAGATTAATTTAAAAAAACGTCAGCACAGTCATTTGCAATTCTAAACGCATTCAGATTGGCTTTCAGCTTGGATTTAATTGAATGAATTTTATTTTGCGATATAATTGCATTTCATTTTCAGCCAAGGATTTGTGAAGGCTTAAAAAGTTAGCAAATCATTCAAACCATGGCCATGGCAAAAACATAATTTATCGTATTAGTTGGGTCTTAATAAAATGCTGTTTGTGCTAAAATCTATTTTAATTGCCGGGCGTGTGTATCTTTTTTTTTCGCAAAAATACGGGAATTTAAAAATATCAAACACCAATTAAATTGTAGAGAACATACGCAAAAGTACCAAAGCTTAAAGCAAAAACATCAATAAAACAAGCAGCTCTTCAGAAAAGACATCGGCTTATGTATTCAAAGCAGTGTCTGAACAATTACAATTCAAACCAGAAAACACCCCGGGCGATCGATTTCAGGGCACGATAAAGTATTTCATATTTATAGAAATTTCGTATGCGTCACATGGCCAAAATCATCATCCTGGCAACACATTCAATTAAACGCAGCCCAGACAGTCGGTCGGAAGTCAAGGAGGTAGGACTCAAAAATTCCAATAAAGCACAAGTATCACTTTCGGCCAGTTTTGAATGAGTAGAATTCCAGCAGACCGAATTCGCACACGTAATCCGACAAATAACAAAGCTCGAACACGCATTTCGGAGATGAATTATTGTGGACACCACCCAGCCGGCGGGCTGAAATGTCAAGCGAAGGCATTACAAGCATAAATATCAGTTGCAATTTTCATATTTTTAACCACAAATGAAAAATTTGATACAGCCTGCAGGGCTACAGGAGAAGGGAGGAGAAGGGAAGGCAAGGAAAATTGCATGCCCGTAGAGATTTACAACTTAAAAACAACTTAAGCCGAAACTTGGAAACAAAGGCAGGGATAGAGAAACAGAGAGACAGGGATTGGGATAGAGAAACTGGGACTATTCTCCAATTTGTTGGCCCCCTTCTCAAGCCCCTCGGCCCAGCAACGGTTGCTAATGGCAAAAACTATACACAAATAGACACTGGCAGGCATAAAACCGGAAACAACGGCACAGGAAGCTGCATGAAAATGAAACGAGGAAAGGCGGCCAGGCGGCCGGGCGGCCTGACTTTGGACTGTAATGAAAAATGGAAAATGTCTACTACTCGTACAGCGACGACTGAAAATAGTGAAAAGTCGAGTGTGCGTCGGTGTGGCATCTCGTCGTCGAGTCGAAAGGCAGCAAGAGCAACTTGAAAATGAATTTAATTATGGCAAAAAAGTGAAAATTTCCACACTTGAGTCTGCGAAGTTTGCCTTTCCCTTTGGCCGCCGGAGCGTTGATGAGCGGCTGCAAAGTGTGAGAAAATTACTAGACAAGACAACACCAGCCAACCAACTGGCAGCCGGGGCACATAAATAGGAGCCGGGGCGAAAGTGAAGAGTCTGCCGGTTCCGGGCATTGTGTAAGTTGGCTTAATGCGGGGCGGCTTACTGCAAGTCCGGGAAATCATCGTTGGTGGAAAAGCCCTGGGAAATGAGTGCGAAAGTGGGGCAAATTCGCTAGTGGTTAACCGGCACACAAAAAAAACAGACATGGAGAGTCATTTCCAGGACAATTGACTTGGCGATGATCCACACTTAGTTACTAATTAGCAGGGATGTAGAAAAAGTCGATAACCGTCGGTATGCGACAGAGGAAAGTGATTGCTTATTGAAAATTAACATACTTTAATCTTTGAAATTTAATTTGACATTTAAATATTTTCTTTAATGATAGAAATAATATATTTATTATAATTTTAGTTTATTTTATAATACTTTAGGTAGATTTAGATAGGTAAATGTTATAATAGATCCTTCACTTAATCTCAAAAACTACATCTACAAATTCTCCTCTGGTTGCCCTGTGAAAAGAATCAAATAGAAAAAAGGGAAGAAGGAGGACAATTGACTTTGTGATGAGCCACACTTAGTTACTAATTAGCAGAGGACTAGAAAAAGTCGACAACCGCACACCGACAAAGCAAACATTGATTACCAGGCCAAATGATTGCAAATTGAAAATTAAGCACGCCGCTGAATTTCCAATTCAAATGCGAGAGAGTCGAGTCGGCCAAACTGCCGGCAAACCGAAAGGAGCAGAGCGTAACAGGCACATGCATATAAATTTATATATGCAGTAAGGACACACAGAGCACTCCCATACACCCATACACCCACACAGCTGCAGTGGCACACGGTGCATGAACTTTCGAGCAGCACTTACACTCACACACACACATAGAGCGAAAAGAGGGGGCGGGTTACACCTACAAGCCGCTGTTGCAAAAACAAACAGCGACTGCGAGTTTCTCAAGTGTCGCAACTGCAACAGCAGCAGCCAGGCCAACAAGTGCCACAGCAGTTGGCTGTGGAAGGAGACCCATGCAGCCAGCCAGCCAGAGCATCACAACAGCATCAGCCTCCGTAATGGCCAACTACAGTGGCAGTTGCCCCTAAAAGATTGTCCATATGCCGAGCAAACCACCTTAAATTTCACTTAAATTAGGCTTACTGCAATTTTCATAACATTTCTTCGCTTTTAAATGACAAAACAGTCTAAGAATAAACCTTTTTTTCATTAATAAGCAAGATAGCAAGATATTTGTATAAACTTTGCCGATTTTATCCATAAATCAAATTTAAGACTTATACCAGAATATACATTTATTCAAATTTTAATGAATCTAGAAAACTAAATTTTATAAATAAGTTAGGTGTCTAAAAGTATGCAACAATAAATTTTTAATGCAAAAGCTATATGAATTCCGTCCTACTATCCTTTATTCACTGCATTCCTTCAGACTCATGTTTTTAGATTTTAACGTGATATCAACTTATAATTAAATACGATTTCTGTTTTATTAAAAAAGGGTTTAAAAGCATTTCAATTGATTTAAATTAATTTAAATTTCAACTAAGAAAAACGTATTTGGAATAAAAGAAAGCGAATATTTCTAACCAAATCGTGATGGCATTCCGCTTAGATAATTTCCACTGTAATTCGCTGTATTATCTCCATCTGGCTGTGATCCGCCTGCTCCTGGCTGTTTTTCGTTGCCCCCAAATGATGGAACAACGGCGGAGAGCGCGCTTTACTTTCGCTCAGGCAAAGGCGACAGCAAAACTTTTAAATTGGTTGCCAACACTTGCAGCTAACATATACACAGGCGCACAGACACCCGCATACGGACAAAAACACATACTAAATGTTTGTTTTGGAAATGAATTTGGCAATTTTTGTACAGCAGGAGGGAAAACCGAGGAAAGCGAGGCGGGGAAAAGTGGCAAAGTGAGGCGAGAGACAGCAGGCAACACCTCAAAGTAATTTGCCAGCAAATCATTGGAAAGAGTCAGCTGCGAAGGCGGAATAGCTGAAAAGGATAGCAGCAGCCGAAAAGTATGCAATGCCAAATGAAACACTCACACATGCGAGTGGCGGGAAAAGCGTGTAATATGTACAGTGAGTGTGTATGGGTGTGTGTAAGTTTGTGTGGGTAAAAAACCACCAAAGTGAAATGCATTTATCGACCGCAAAGCGTTCGAAATGAAATCTGTTTAAAGGATTTTAATACCCCAGCAGAAACGTGGAGTCTGCATCAGTATCTTTGACTGTGTGTGTATGAGCAAGGAGCTGGCTGTGCGGGTGTATTGGTGAGCGGGTGAATGGGTAATGGGTAAATGGGTGAACGGGTGGTGAACACAAAAAGTCAATGAATTCGTTTGGCGAATTGAAAAATTAATTCAGTTGCCGTCGCTGGCATTGATAAGGAAAGTACAGGGAGCTGGGAAAACTTTTACACGCCGCTTTCCTTTTATGTGTGTCTTTATCTTCGCTTCGTCTGTGTTTGTACTTACACACACACATTGACAAGCTTTTTACTTACTAATGACTTCTCATTTCGCTTACGGTATTTCTCTGTTACTTGTGCTTTTTGTCTTACTTTACAGACTCACACACACACTCACTTACTTATACAAAATTACTCACTGACGTTGTTGTGGATTTTCCACCATTTTCCCCTCACGAAAAGCTAAGGAAATTAAGCAAAAAGCGCAAAGATTTATTTCGCTTTGATCAAAATTAAATGAATTGATTTTAATACGCCCCGTGGGCAAGATATTTCCTACGCTTTCGTTTCGTTTCGCAAATGAAAACGCATAAAAAAGGTGTTGGTTGGCCTTGTGGGCGTGGCCGTTTCTGGGCGCTGCTCCTCGTTGTGAGCTTTATTTTATGCCAGCGGCCATTACAATTGAGTAGCTCTGGCCATTCCTATGTGCGAGTGTCTGTGTGAGCTATTTGAATTCCCATCCGCACTGGTTTTCCTATTGGTATTGGTATTGGTATTGGTGCGGAGTGCTCGTGCTTAAAGACTCTCAATAAATTCTCCTTGAATTGGGTACAA